TAATAATAATAATAACATAGGCCTATAGATCTAGATCTAGATCTATGTAGTAGCCTACACTACACAGCAGATTCCAATTTTGTCAAACACATTTTGTTTATCTTGCAGCAGCATTTTTTTTTTTACATTTTTTTATTTAAAGTTTGAACAGCATAATTTTATTTCCATTTACATACTAGATTATTTATGACAACTTGGTGAAATCTAGGGGGGGAAAATCACAATGCAAAATTTTCTGTTAAGTGTGCGATATACAGTAGATCTAGATTCAATTGTTATTATATTGCACAAGGATGTAAATCCCAAGAGCAGCACAATTTCATGGAATCTCTCTCGTGTAAGGTTTACAGTATTCTGTTCCATCAAGGGGCGTGCAACCCACAAAGACTTCAGCTTGGTTTCCTATCCAAAGGGACGTAACGACAAGAGCTTCCGCGGGAATTTCCGGAGAGACATTGAGTGAGAGACAGTGAAGGAATGCGCTTGATAGTCTTGTGAATCAGCCTTCTTTTACTAATATTGTTTAATGTGGAAACGTCTCGATTGCTGTGCAAAATACATCTTGTAAAGGTGGTAAGATTCAGTGTGATTATCAATGAAGTTGTTTTGATCTAGAATCTAGAACAGTCTATAATTATAATGCCGTCTGGAGGCAGCAGACCCACTAAGTTTTCACTAACAGTAACTTCTGAGTAACAGACTGTTCTGTATTCTGCATCCTTGTTGTTTTGTTGACTCTACAGTACAGTCCTACAGTCCTTAGGCTAATGATTTATAAATAGCCTCTATTATTTACAGGAAATTGGATTCAGTAATAAATCAAATTCCCATTTTTTTCTCTGTAAGTGTAAGTAATAATATCGGAGTGCTTATTGGCCCACAGGGGCATCTTTGGCAAGCGCTATTTGCAATGCCGCGTTCTGAATAGCTCCCGTGCTATTTGCAACGCTGCGTTCTGAATAGCTCCCGCGCTATTTGAAACGCCAGTACTAAATCTAGATCTAGGTCTAGATATCTAGATCTAGATGTAGATCTAGTAGCCATTGTAAATGTTTTTACATATATAGATCTATATATGATAGAGATCTAATATTGTAGTTCTGCCTGAATTGTGGAAGCTTTCTCAGTTTTTTTATAAACCTCCTAGGATTTGACTCCTTTTTTTATGACGTTGTCTTATTCCGATCAATATTGGGTAGATCTAGATCTAGATCTAGAAAAATCTAGATCTAATTAGAACTAACAATTGTTTCTGACATTGTTTGCACAAAAATAGACGTCTTGTTCATCTCTCATATAATCATAATCATCTGAAGTGAGTTTGAGCAAGTTTAAGTCGAAAGATGCTTGGATAATAACAAGACGGTGCAACTCAAACTTTAAGTTAGGCTTAGAGAACGTATAAAAGCTGTCTACGTTCTCTAAGTCAAGTCTAATGTTCAGTGCTTCCAAGCGTGGCATCGAATCCCGGTCCCGAAAGGTGTTTTTTTTTTTTCCTTCTCCTGAGCCTAAAATAAAAAATAAGACTCACAGACCAAGGAAAGCCACTACTGAACTTTAACCAGGCCTAAATTGGTAAAAGGAAAAGTATAGGCTATACTAAGGCCTATTTTGTACAGAGCTCCTCTTGGGGACAAAAAACCAGAATGTGCATGCTTCATCACTACATTAAAAAAAACTACAAAGCAACAAGATCTAATTATGGGAACAATTTGTTGGTCAGTCAAGAAGAGGACAACAACATCAAACAAAAAAACAAGAAAAAAAACCAAACGTCCAGGACCGGGATCGAACCCACGCTAAAAAAATAATGGTTTGACTTCAAGCGCAGACGCACTGTCACTTCGGCCATCAGAACTTCCGATAATGATGTGCAGATATAGTTTGATATTTTACACACGGTGACACAGCGTTTTATTTAGCACTGGCGCTAATCGCAACGTGGCGTGTTGCTAATAGGCACTTCCTATACTATTACCCCTAGAACATTTATTCTTTGCCCACAAAATTGCGAGTTATCCCCCCTGTGTTTGGTCTCTCCCCCCCTCAAATCCACAAAGTCCGTCAATCACATATTTTAAATTGAGAATGTATAGTTTTCCAATCTAATGCTAAAAATAAAAAGATGAACAATAGAGTATCTATCTAAGAAGTTACACATGTTCATCTTGTTATCCAACACAGTATACATAGATAACTAAATTATACCGTAATCACGTAATGTATTGTTTGACGAAAGAAGCAAGCCCACATCCGGAGAACCTAAATTCAAAATGAAATACTGTTCACAGACGATCAATGTCTAGCCTACTGCATAACAATAACACTGAACTGCAGGAACACGCTGACAAACAATCAAATCTGTAGAAATGTGTGCGAGATGGAATGCCTCAGGAAAACATTAACAAGAAGGGATAAAGTGAGAAAAAAGAAAAGAGAACAAGTTGGGACAACGCCACGTATGAAATACATTGAAAAAACAACACATTAGCCTAAATGGCCCATGAGGGCCAATAAGCCATACGCCTCCGCTTATTTGCCCATGTGGGCCAATAAGAGCAGCCTAATAATATATGATCTAGATCTAGATCTCAGAATCTAGTCTCAATTTGATCTAATCTAGGCTAGATCTAGATCTATGAACCTTAAAATATTTTATTATAACAGGGTTCAATTGGCGCAGATTCGGTAACAGTGATCTTGCAGTGAATGAACTTGCTTTCAATCCGTCAGATTATTCCAACATTGGGTACGTCAGATTATTCCAACATTGGGTACGTCAGATTATTCCAACATTGGGTACGTCAGATTTTTCCAACATTGGGTACGTCAGATTATTCCAACATTGGGTACGTCAGATTATTCCAACATTGGGTACGTCAGATTATTCCAACATTGGGTACGTCAGATTATTCCAACATTGGGTACGTCAGATTTTTCCAACATTGGGTAGGCCTTGCAGTGTTGCAGTCCCTGTCCTGGAAGTCGAGTAAAAAAGCTGACTGAGTTGCCAGGGTGAAAAGTCCCATTTTTAATTCGAAGTAACTATTTCTACGAACTCTATTTCTACGAACTCTATTTCTACTAACGGTTTCTGATCTCGAGATTTTTGGGTATTTGCGAGATTTAGGCATCATCCTTTCATAATTTCATTCTGCCATTCTGCGAGGACTGGGAGGAAGCATTTTTTGCATCGAATTCAATTTTTAGAGCTAGATCTAGAGATTTTTAAATGTCTGAATGTTCAGATACTTCAGTTGTGGTTGGGCAACGTTCCCGGACTATACTTCATTTGAAAATACCTTCAAAAGGTACAGCGAAAAAACAAGATTGCTTGACCTTGGCAGTAACCTATTTTGCATTTAGTCACCCAGCTAAAACTAAAATCCTTCATGTAAAAAAAAATTCCTCCACCCCCCCCCCGTTCACACCTTACACCCACACTGACACACACACATGCACACTCAAACAGACACACACACACACATGCGCCACTCCATTCGCTTATATTATCAACAAATCTCGAGAACGGAAACCGTTCAGAGAAATAAAGTTCAAGTTTATTTTCCCGAACATTCGGAGAAATAGAGCCGGCCTTTTTAATTTTATACTTTTTTCGGCCCTATTTTAATCCTGTTTTTTTAGTGTGTTGAGAACAAGTGTGGGTGCATTTTCGGTAGTTCCCACCCCCATTATTTTTGCCTAGATCTACATCTAATCACATGCATAATAAAAAATGAACAGTAATTATAAATAATAGTACTAATACTAATAGTAATGTTCATATATAGGCCTATTGGGCGTTCAGTTTTCTCTTCCCTGAACTTGGGTTGAGACCTGTATGTTCAGAAAAATGTAAAGTAAAGCAAAAGTAGACAAGGAGAAATTTGAGAAGTTTCTTTGGAAATTCTAAAGATAGAGGTAAGAAGTGGACAGAGACATTTTATTAGAGCATCCAGACAAAATAAAAGTCATGAATCATGATTGCCGAAGTCGGAGTTTCAGATCTTGCACCTGAAGAAGAAAAAAAGTGAAAGCGAAAGAGACAACGGTAAACCTACAAGAACCTGAACAGATGGATGACAAGAAACTGAAAAGACCATATAAATGATTTATTATAGTCCTATTTTTTTTGTTAGAACATCCAAGCCGAGAAACAAATGGCAAACCATAAATGAATCATGAATGTCTTTGCTTTTTCAGAAGTGGCATTTGAAGCAGAAAAGTTGAGATCGGTCAATATGACTGGATGAAGCAAGAGTTGACGTCTGTCAATCATAAGTCAATGTGACTGGATGCAACAGAAGACCAAAGAGCTGACTGTCAATGCGCCTGGATGAAGCAGTTCTAAGAGTTGACATCTGTCAATGTGACCGGATGAATGGCATCGAGCGGACCTTCGGAGGAGTGGCGTCTGCGACGGGCGGGGCCTCCCTCCACGGTCAACAACAGCGCCTCTCTGATCCGGTGAGTTGTGTACTGAAGAGAGGAGAATTACAGGAGTTTGTGTGTGTTTGTGTTAGTTTGTGTGTGTGTGTTTGTGTTTGTTTGTGTGTGTGTTAGTTTGTTTGTGTGTGCGTGCGTGTGTGTGTGTGGGAGGGGAGGTGTGTGTGTGTGTGGGAGGAGGGGTGTGTGTGTGTGTGTGTGGCAGGAAGGGGGGGCGGGGTTGGGGTTTGTTTCCTACTTCATTCCTGTCCTGTTTTCTTTGTCTGTCTCCTCATTTTTAGTTTTTGCAAGAGATAATTAGGTTGTATACAAGTGCTGAAGATTGGAGGTTTACGGTTTGTCTATTTTTTAGAATAAACATACAAAGAAAAGACGGAGGAGAACTATGAAGATGATGAAGTCAACCACCCACTTTCTTTTTCTCCCCAGACTGCGCAATGAGGGTCAGGTGACGGTGGGCAGGGGGCCGAGTGCCGACTATTTCTTGGACTCTGCCGTGACTTTGCGGCTGATATCTCGCGTCCATGCCTCCATCATCGGGGAGCGCCTGGACAATGGAGGTCAACAGTTCACGGTGGTCAACTCTGGCCTCAACGGGACCTACATCAACGACTTCAAGGTGTGTGTGTATGTGATACCACTAGCTTAATAATTTTAATTATATTGATAATAATAATTGCATTTATATAGCGCATATCCATGCTCTATGCGCTTTACAACTATTATTGCCCCAGTAGACTCGCTGAGAACACTCAGAAACATTCTCGGCTTCTGCGGAAGCATACAGTGCAAGCTGCAGAATTCACACACTCAGACATCAAACTGATACGGTCGTTCACTGCATATAGCCGAGTACCCATTTCCACCTGGGTGAAGTGAGGAAAATTTATGCTAAGTGCCTTTCCCAAGGACACAACGTCGGACCCCTGATGAGATTCAAACCCACGACCTTACAGTTGCGAGTCCGAGAGCCTTACCACTAGGCCACCGACGCTTAGTGTTTGTGACCAGGGTATCTTTGAGAGTTAACGAAGACAGACTGTGATGTTTTGTAGATCGGGATGATGATGATGATGATGATGATGATGATGATGATGATGATGCATGGCTTGGTTCTTTTGGTTTTTTATGATGCATGACAGGTTGGTTTTTTTAAACGATTCTCGTCTTTATAAACTTATAAATCTTTATGATGTATGGCTATTTAGCAATTTTTTTAAGAGCTTTACGGCACTTGCAGAAAATGAATATATAAGTGCTGAATATTAGAGGTGTCACTAGAGAGTGACATACAGAGAAAAGATGGAGGCGAGATGAGGGCGTTAGATGTTTGATTGGAAAGAAGGAGGAGAGATAAGGACGATAAATGTTTGACAAGAAAGAAGGAGGAGAGATAAGGACGATAGATGTTTGACAAGAAAGAAGGAGGAGAGATAAGGACGATAGATGTTTGATTGGAAAGAAGGAGGAGAGATAAGGACGATAGATGTTTGACAAGAAAGAAGGAACGAGTCACACGAGAGCACCTGCCAACCACATACAGGGGGAAGTTGTTTGAATCTAGAGAAGCATTTATCGACACAATAGTTATTTATCGAAACAAAAGAAAGAGAAGCATTTATCGACACAATAGTTATTTATCAGGTATGTGGTGTTGGTAACTAGACAGACAAACAAAAGAAAGGAAAGTAATAGCCCATCTCTTAAGTGTTCTAGTTTTTGTCAAAGGAAGTGTGTGGGTGGTTGGCAAGTGCTCTGGTGTGGTTTACTCATTCTTTCCTATCAAACATCTATCGTCTTTATCTCCCCTCCTTCTTTTTTGCATTTGTTACTCTCTTGTAAAACCTAATCTTCGGCACTTATATGACCTTATTGTGTTGCAAGTGCCGTAAAACTCTTACGGAAAAAAAAGGAGGTTCAGAAACTGAACAGCTGACAGGAAACCTTGTTGCTCCGTGTCCTCAGATGGGCATACAGTCGGACAACAGCGTGCGTCTGCGCGAGGGAGACAAGGTCACCTTCGGTCACCCGGGCTGTGCTTCCATCAAAGTGGGAGAGCTCGCTCCGCAGCCTCAGTCCGAGTTCCAGTTTATTGTGAGTGACCTGCCCCTGATTAACCCACGTGACTTTTTTTTTTCGTATTGCTACGTAACCTACCCTGCAACGGTTTCATCATCGTAGCTAAAAGGCAGAGATACGACTTAAAATACCTTTCCCACCCAGGACTCGAACCCACATCTCCTGCATTGGGCAATGGGGAAGAACCTAAGCATTAGGCTACACAACATGTGCCAAATAAAGTGTCGCAACTTGGTGGAATTAGGCGCTCCTCAATTTTTGGGCATATGAGGTTATTGGTATCATCTTAAAGCCTGTTCATTTGCCTTGCTTATTGTGAAAAAAATTCCCATCTATGTTGAATAGAAGTCGAAATATTTGCGAATGAAGGAGGTGGGGGTCACCTGGTTTCAGAGGTAAAATTTGTGACAAAATGGCTGCCAAAGATGAGTTATTTCCTTAGCTTGAGAGTCGGTTGAAACAGAGCCTTTAATCAACGTTTTTCAGTGAAATCCACACAGAAATGTGTTCTTTAATGGGCATGAAAGGTGGTGAGTCAAAAAATGAAAATTGGATACAAAAACACAGGCGCAGGGAAGACGGACGTGAATTCAGGGGTCTAGTCTCTTAAATAACCTCACAGTGCTGAAAGGGGAGTTAGACCTGTATAATGTCCCCCAGGGCAGTGCAACTGACTGAAGTTGTCTTTAGGCCTTTCCCAAAGGGGAGACATTAACATGTTCTTATACACAGTAGAATTGTAAATGAGCTGATTCATCAATGTCATACTCATAACTGTGCCGGAACAACATGGGGGAACTACTGAGGTTTTTTTTCCTCATCCCTACGTGGAGCAAAAAAACAACAAAAGATGTAATACAAATTGCCAAACTGGTTGGAAAATTCCTGTTTCTTCAGGTCTATTATTTTGACAAGTGCTTGATTTTTCCTGAGTTCACATATGTCAGCTGTGCTGACAAAATGAGGTACTTCTCGGATTTTCACCTCATGGAAATTGATAAATCCACTTTATAGGTGGGGTTTGTACAATTTGTAAGTATGGAATAATAAAAGACACAATAAACTTGAAGAAAATGGCATCAACTGAAAATCTATCAATCTGACCCAAGTGTCAATTTTTGTCTGGTATCTCCATTCTTGGATTGCGAGAAGTAACTCGTTTTGTCAGCAAGCCTCACATTATCTATTATCTATTTGTGGTGGCCGAATGTTGCTATTCAAAAGGCTTTCTAATGGCTGCATCGATCGACATGCGGTTTTCGCCAAAAGATTCTTTAAAATATTCTCCAGATCATGACGTCCTTGTTTTTTTCAGTTTTGAGACAGTTTGGGTGCAAAAAGCTAAATTTCTTTATTTCGCCGATCACTTTTGTAAACCGACGCTTCTGTCTCTGTAATTTTAGAAAACCCGGAAGTGATATATGAGGCGCATTTTGTTTTGAGAGTATAGATCTAGACCTTCTAATTTTTTGCCTCTCTCAAGATTTATTGCCCCATTCCAGTAGCGTGTAAATATAGTAGGCCAATGACTTTTAGTTGATATTAAAGCACCGATCATTCCTTTCATCGAAAGGGGGTACTTTTGCTGATGTAAAAAAATCTCATGCTCGTCCTTTCTCTGTGTTACAGTTAGAGCATGTGCCGTGTGGGGACACAGCCCAGGTCAAGGACACGAATGCTCGGGGAGTGATCACGCCCGCGACTGTCGGCTCGGATTTCTCCCACATGGTCAAAGAGCCACGGCATGAAAGGGAGGAGGTCTCCCTGTCCGAGAAGGAGAACAAGAGCGGCCGGCGCTCGTCGCACAAGTCGCCCGGTGTGTCTCGGGCCGTTTCCGTGGACGCTGCCACCCCAACCAGACCACATGCATCGGAGTCGACATCTTCATCATCGTCGGGTTCCTCTTTGTTGTCCGACGGTCAGAAAGGTCGGGTCCGGAAGAGACCCAGTCTCGACGCCTCAACAGATGTGAGCGTAAGTTGTAGCAGGTCCCCGGCAGACATGAGCATGACTTATAGCCGGGCGTCGAGCAGTCCGGACGTGATCTTCGTGTCGGAGCAGGGGGCGCTGCTGCCTCCTCGTGTGGAGATCAAGGAGGAAGAAGACGAGGGGGATGAGTGGCCGGACAGGAGGGAGGAGGGTGATGGCGGTGACGATAACGATGGTGGCTCTGGCTGGGGGCAGAGCGGGCTGGCGGAGGTCGTCCCCGAAGGTGGTGGGGGGGATGGGTCGAAGGTCACCCACCACAGGGAAACCCCGAACCAGTCTGGGGAAAAGCCAAAACAGACTGGGAACAGGTCAAAGGTCAATGGAGATGTGTTGTCGACACTGGGTGTGGAGAGGTCGAAGGTCGGCCAAGATGCGTCTTCAAAACAGACTGCAGAGAGACCAGAGGTCGTTTCGCATGCGTTGTCGAAAGAGGCTGTTGATGGGCCAAAGATCATCCAAGATATTTTGACAAAACAGGCTGTTGATAGGCCAAAGATCATCCAAGATATTTTGACAAAACAGGCTGTTGATAGGCCAAAGTTCATCCAAGATATTTTAGCAAAACAGGCTGTTGATGGGCCAAAGGTCATCCAAGATATTTTGACAAAACAGGCTGTTGATAGGCCAAAGTTCATCCAAGATATTTTGGCAAAACAGGCTGTTGATAGGCCAATAGTTGCTCAGGAGGTTTCGTCAAAACATGGTGCAGAAAGAGGGGGCGTGAGTCCTGTTTGTGCTGATTCCCTGCGTGCAGAAAGAGGGGGCATGAGTCCTGTTTGTGCTGATTCCCTGCGTGCAGAAAGAGGGGGCATGAGTCCTGTTTGTGCTGATTCCCTGCGTGCAGAAAGAGGGGGCATGAGTCCTGTTTGTGCTGATTCCCTGCGTGCAGAAAGAGGGGGCGTGAGTCCTGTTTGTGCCGATTCCCTGCGTGCAAGTGACCAAAATGTCAGGCTACTTTCACAGCTGCCATCTGGCAAAGACACGTGTCTCCCTGGTCAATTGAGCCGGTGTGACGAGACAGACTGTGGTGTTAAAAGTGAAGGTCGTGTTGGCCTTACAAGTCAAAGGAGAGATGTGAAAATCGACAAAAGCGTAAGTATTTTGGACAAAATAAACTGTGGCCATGCTGAGAGCCGGACAAGCCTTGTGAATAAAACAAACTGTGGCCATGCTGAGAGCCGGACAAGCCTTGTGAATAAAACAAACTTTGCAAAAGTTGAAGGTCATACGTGTATTGTGAATAATAAAAACCGTGTCAAAGGTAAAGGTCATGCAACTATTCCGGATAAAGCTAGCAATATGAAGGAAGAAGGCAATGCTCATGTTGTGAAGAAAGCAGACCAGTGTGCCAAAGCAGACGTTGTTTGTGGCGATTTGGAGCCTGGTACCTGGCGACCGCCCCCATCCACGCGACCGCCTCCCTCTAAAGCTGCCATAAAGCCGCATGAAAAGTCTGCCGGACTCCTCCCAGCCACATGTCAAAAGCTTGCAGAGATCAAGGTCATCACGGAGGATTTGTGTGGGAAGAAAGCGGACACTCCCCCGTTTGCTCCGGAGGACAAGTTGACCTCGGTCAGCCCCAAGATTTCCCCGGATTCGCAGCTGCGGCCGCTAATGCCTTGCAATATGGCTAGTCTGAATAACACGATTCCGGCGTTGCCCGTTAAACCTGTCTTTGGTTCGTTCGGTTTGCATGATGAAAGCATGAAAGCGGAGAAGAAGCTCTTATTCTCAAACCAAAGCTTCAACAAACCGAACAACCTTCACAAGTTGGAAGTAGCAGCGGAAGGAAAACTGAAGTCCGGCTCTGTGGTCAGCTCCGGTACCTCTGTGGTCAAGCAGTCGTTAGATGGAATAAAGAAATCCGAGTGGACGCGTGGTGGTGGTGGTGGTAGAGCGGAGGCCGTCTCGTCGTCTGCTGTGGTAGAGACACCTCGTTGTACCTCTGGGGGGAAAGACCGGGGTTCTTCCAGCCTGCGGGGTAAGCCCACCATCACCCCCACCACCACCACCCCCACACCGACGTGTGTTGTGTCGTCTGCTTCCTCGTCAGCCCGGCAGTTATCAGGCCAGGGGGGGTGGGTGCGGTCGGACGTAGGGGTGGGCGTGGTGGTGTCTGAGAACTGTGGGACTGACGGGTCGCACCAGTGCCGGGACGTAGACAGTAGCACGTGCACCGCGCTGGTCAGCTCGACCCGGTCGAAGGAAGACGTGGCCCCCAGCTCCACACAGGAAGGGCCTTCACCGTGCTCGACGCAAGCAACAGAAACGCCTCAGGTGGCCTCGCAGGCTTCTTCGGAACTGTCCTCATCATCATCCTCGTCGTCCATATCTTCATCTTCATCATCATCGTCATCTTCGCCGACATCATCAGCGGAGAGCTCAGCCGCGGTACCTACAGGTTCCACAGAGCCAGAGGAACCGGCTGAAAGTTTACGTCTACTTCAAAAACCGCCCAATTCCAAAGAGATTTCCACCGTAGAAAACCACTCAGATGCTCGGCCCCCAAATCGAAAACTTGAGGCGGCACCACCGCCGGCCCTCCCCACTTCTAGATCCTCCTCATCCGTGCACCCTGTGACCCCTGGGCGTACGACCAACTCCCCCGCCCACCCCACTCACAAAGACGTACCCAGCTCCATGTCCAAGCCTGAACTGGACCAGAGGCCTGTCTCCCGGAACACTGACCACAAGGTCTGTGACCATCTGCTGTTGGACAGCTCCCCGCCCCTGCTAGAAGGGACAGCTCTGGGCTTGTTCGGCAGCTCGGACGAGGAAGAAGACGAGCCGCGAGGCGTCAACAACACCAAGAAGATCATGAAGCGGATCTACTCGCCACGACACCACTCGTCCGGGCCGCCCAGTCAGTGCAAACGGTGAGACACTTCTTCTATTGTTTAGTTTTAGTTTTAGTGAATGTTTTACGGCACTTGCAACACAGTTAGGTCATGTAAGTGCTGAAGATTAGAGGTGTTACTTGATGATAGTAACATACGAAGAAAAGAAGGAGGTGAGATGAGGGCGATAGATATACCTGGATACCTGGAGGTGTCATCTCTGACTCAGAGGTTGACGTGGAATGACGTGTGTGTGTGTGTGTGTGCGCGTGCGTGCGTGTGTGTGTGTGTGTATGTCCCTGTCTCTGACTCAGAGGTTGACGTGTAATGACCCTCCATCCTTCACGGTCGCGAGCTGCCGTTGCACATTCTGCCATATCCAGGCCAGTCAATGTGTTTATGTCGTCCATCCATGTTACTCTTTATCTTCCTGGATTGATATATCCTCCCACCAGGGCAGTGCTACTGACTGAAGTTGTCTTTAGGCCATTCCCAAGGATGGGGGGGGGGGGGAATTAACATGTTCTTATGCACAGTAGAATTGTAAATCGGCTGATTTATCAATGTCATGTGACCCGCTATTTCTGGGGTGCCTTGATAGTCGAAGCAGACTTTGTGCTGTTGAGACTAGAGAGGTGAGCAGAGTAAGTCTGATTCCCCGTTTGGACTTCTCTGTTGACATCCACCCCTTGGCGCTCATATGACCTTATACAGTACCTTACTAAAAAAAAGTATATTATGGCACTTGCAACACAATCAGGTCATGTAAGTGCTAAAGATTCGAGGTGTTACTAAATAGTAGCGGGCGTAGAAAAGAAGGGGAGATGAGGACGATACGTATATTTAGGTTTTTAGTTTTAGTTAGTACACAGTAAGGTGATACAAGTGCCGAAGGTTAGAGGTGTTACTAAATAGTGACTTATAGAGAAAAGGAGGAGGAGGAGAAGAGGTGCGACTAGATAGTAACAATCAAAGAATTTAGCTGGAGGTGAGAAGATTAGGACGATAGATATATTTGAGATACGGACGATAGATAGATGTATTTGATAGGGAAGAAGGAGCTAAGAGATTCCAGGGGTCTTGGTGGAATGTAACAACTTGGACCATAGGGCAAAAATAATGCACGCTTGGATCATTGTCGGTGCTTTTCTCACCCTACATTGGGGTTTAGGAGTGGGTGGTTGGCGGGTGCCCGAGGTCTGGTTTGCTCTTTCTGTCCTATCAATCATCTTTAATTGGAATCCGTATAAATGTCTCCTCCTCCTTTTCTGTTTGTGTTACTCCCCAGTAGCTCCTCGAGTCAAGTCGGCCGTTTAGGCTTAATAGCACACACCTCTCACGAACGCTTTGCCACGCAGACAGACACACGATCACACACAAACATACACACAAACAGACATGCAAACAGACACACGATCACACACAAACATACACACAAACAGACACGCAAACAGACACACGATCACACACAAACATACACACAAACAGACACGCAAACAGACACACGATCACACACAAACATACACACAAACAGACACG